TCCTACCAAATAACTACATGGCTACTGAACCCTGAAAGATGAATATGGCACTTACGTGGCTGTCATGGCAAGTAAAGTACTTTGAACAGTCAAAAATATGTTAAAAGAATCCATCTGATCAAGGTGCTTTGCATCCTTTACCAAAAGGCACTGCTTATACATACCTATGGGTTGATATGTACCACTACCACACTTATTCTCTGTTTATGCTACATGATTAATATTAAGATAAAAATCAGCCTTCATAGACCATCTTGGATTAGTGCAGAATTATCCAAAGAACACTGCTACATTCTGAATTTGCTAAATAAGTTTCTTTCTGTACAAATATTTATATTTAAGACTCTCAGTAATGAAATTGTGAGTCCCCAAATGATGTGAAACAGAACAGATCACTGGGCACTGAGGCCTCACCCACATTTTTAAGTTTTGTATAATTTAAAGTACTTACTCCCATCAGCAAAGAAAAGATCCATGTTCTGTAACTAAAGCAAGGATGCAGCCTCTTTGATAGCTGAAGGTCACTGGATTTGATATCTGGTATATAATTTCCATTCTCTTGTTTTCCCCGTTCCAAAGTTGGCATCCTGTCATAGCTAAATTCTTCTCTGTAGCCTTCTTCCCTGGTCATAACACTTCACAAAGGCAATTAATAATAATAATGGAAATGCAAATTATGAAGAAAGACCAAAAATATAATTTAGTATCTTCACATACTCAGATCAGTGCTTAAAGTTTTTGCCTATGCAAGATAAAATAAATAAAAGCAATACTTAGCAATGAGCTGTATTTACATTTAAAACATGTAATCATTCTAACAACTTACTTGCATACAGTAAATAAATTACATTCTATAGCTACAGTTCATAATAATGCCGTATAAACACCAACAAAATGAAAGCTTGGGTATCTATGATACCTAAATAGACTTTTATTTCAAGATTTAGAACCACTTTTGAAGGCTAAAGTATAACTCTATAACCACAGCTTTTTTTCTTTTTCTTTTCTTTTCAAACTCTAGGACAGAAAAGATATTTAAACATGTTTAGCTATTAACTTCCATTTGATTTTAACACTTCTTCTGATGTATCTAAAACGACAGACTTCACTATGAGTCAAATGAAGTCATATACTCACAACTCAGCTACAGCAGACTCTTTCTAATTTACCCAGTATCAACCATTTTTCTTGTTCACATCACCTTTTTTATTCATCTCACTGCTTGCAAATCTGTTCAAATACCTAGAGGAGTATCTTATGTTAGAATTAAGCCACTGCAGATTTTTCAACAGTTAAAAACATCCATGCTTACCTTCAACTGCAAAGTTAATGGCCAGTTTAAAACAGCCCTGCGAACACAGCTGCCTGCACACTTTGTGATATTCTCACCGCTCAGTGAGTCATGCCGTCTTTGAAAAGTTCTCCCTTACACTTTGGCTTTCAACAACATCTATTCAGATATGGAACAAAAGCACAGCAAAAACTTCAGTTAAGCCAGGGAACAGGAAAATGCCTCCTGAATTTTAATGAACAGAACACACTAGAAGATGACTGTACTGCTTTCTCACAGGGCTGCTTCCAAATCAGACAAACAAATTCAAAAAGTTTCAAAACTCTTTTATTTGAGTACTACCCCTTACCTGGCACCTTAAATAAAACCCTTCTCATAGTTTACCACTTTTAGTTATTATAACACCCAGTGATAACAATATTCAGCAATCTAGTTCTTGTTTCAAAAGAGCAAAAGAGCAAAAGCTACTTACAATGCAGTATTTTCCTAGAATGAACTACAGATAAAAATTAAAGTATTCAAGTATCCCACCAAGTTGGGAAGTTAGAAAGTTAGAGGACAGAAATTTATCAAGAATTTCATCTTCACTGTAGAACTCTCCTTTATCTTTTCCTACTAACCCTAGTTTTCTAGCGCATTCAAACCCTGCACACCAATCGTGCTGACACTCATACTTACAGACCACCACAATGACTAAACAACAATTTTTAAATCTAGCAGGCAGCAGTGACATGCGATGGCCAGCGTACATTGGATCCAGTCCCCCTGCTTATTAGGCAATGAGAACTAAAAACAAAACAAAAAAAAAGAATGCTTTTATCTTGAAGATGTTGGCACTGTGACAGCTACAGCAATGACAGGGTCTTTTGTATAAACTTTAAACACTCTTATAACCAAGACACAATTAAATCTTCTGTACTCTGAAGGGCATCACCTTTCAAGTATGCTAGAAATACTTTAGAACAGCACTACTTAATTTGTATAGACTGTAGATTTTGCTCTTCTCATTATGTCAGCCAATACTGAAAGAATACTAAAATGTTACAGTTGTTTTAATAGACTGAAACACAGAGATTAATACATAGCACCAGACACAGCTGTAAACTGTGTTAGAAAAGGGTAAAAAAGAGATTGTGTAGCCAAGCAAAACTGTCTTAAGTAATTAAGTCCTTCTGTACCTCTTTTCACAGAAGAAACACTATGCAAATATTTCCATTACATGTAACTTTTCAAAGCCTACAGTTTAATGGAAAATGGGTAATACTTTCATCTTTTTCGCTATATGCTAGGTACTGGTTTGCTCTAACACAAACAGATATATAGATACAAAACAGGATTATATTTTATCTCCTTTGACCAATTGAGGAGATCAACTTATTTTTTACACAAAATTGCTGAGATAGTCAGGTATTTGTTTTAATCTCTTTGAATAAGAATTTGTGATTCTGTGAATTTATAGAGTCCTGTGCCACTGATCAGAGCAAGCCTCAAATCCTAGGAATTTTTGTTCTCAATTCCAAGTGTTTCAGTCAGTATTGTACCTGAAGGCTCCCTCTCTCAAGTGTGGCACTACAGTGTTTTCTCTGGTTATGGTGAAATTCTTTCTGCCCCCTTTTCCAAGTACTTCTCTGTATTTGCCATTTTCCTTTTTGCGCAGGGGTTCACCACACAATTACTGTACCCTCTGCATTTGGCATCAGTGTCAACAAAAAACACTTAAATTTCACAGTTCGGTTTCTACAGTAAACAATTTCTGGGGCTCTTATTTTAGGTTCCCTTAATTTCATGTTCATGGTTCCATAAAAAGTTTTGGGTAATTTTTGTGTATACACAACCACAAGGCAAGATCTGGTAGCCAGAGTTCAAGTCACAGGTCAAGACTTCAAAAGGTAAGGTTATGAAGGTGCTGTATAAAGAGATTCCTCCTAATTCTACAGGATGCATAGGAAACCTGCACAAAGACTGCAGGAAATCTAACAATGCTAACAGAACACTAAAAGTTTTATAAATTAAATGTTTTTATTCCAAGCTAGGCCAAAAGATGTCAAGGGATGGCAATCAAATCAAATCATTAAAGGGTACAAAAACTACTTACTTCTATCACTGAAATGACCACTGAAAAAGATCAGACTGCCTAAAGCAGCTACAGCAGATACTGATTTGTTTGCCAGGGCTGTGCCATGTGAGCATCCTCCACAGTAACCACAAAAGACAAAAAACACTTGACAATTATAACTGATCTGCCAAAGGACCATATGATAAAAAGGTACATAAACGTGCCATAGTCCTACTTTTGTATCAGTAATTAATAAAAAAGCATTCTGTCCTGAAGTTTCCCTAGCACTGAACACAGGCTTATGCCCATGTTCCCTAATCTAAGGAGCGCCTGAAGTTCTGGCGAGATTTCTTTTTAACCATGCTAACCAACCCTTCCTTTTTCTGATGAGTTTTTCTTAGCTACACTACCTATGCATTCTTTCACACAATATTTAATTACATTATTTTAGCTCATTACCTGTATTCCTTGTTGAACGTTTTCAGCTCTTTTAAAATCACCTTTGAAGTATTTCATTTCTATGGAGCCAATTCCTCAACCCCTGTTTCTCAGCTCATGTCTTGGGGCATGTTCTGAACCAAGAGCAAAATGTAGACCAAAAAGCTTCAAAGGGGAGTCTTATTCTCATAGTATAATATAAAATTCTTTGGATTTAGTCTTTTACGTGAATCGTCATCTGAAGAGTTTAAAAAGGTTCAACCAACATATATACTATCAATTGTATGCTATTAAAATACAAAATACTTGTAGTTTTATGGATGTAATATATACCATGTTAACACTTCAAATGACATCCAGACTGAATACTGGTCTTTTCTGCCTATGCCATTTTATTGCAATAGGATTCCCGAGAAGCACAGCCTGGGAAGGCTGCTATAGACTACAGGTTCTTCAGAGAGGAATTTAGCCATGCATAAGACACTCCACTCCTCCAGAAAAATCTGTTTCTTCACCTGTCAGTCTTGCCAACCAACACTCCTCTGCCACCACTCCACAGGAATCTTAGTGAAAGAAAATGGTAGTTAAAATGCTTTAAATCAATGTTTCTAGAAGTGGAGGTTGTCACTCCCTCAAGCACTGTTCTAAAAGGATCACCGACTACAGACACTCGTACATGTTACTTCTCCCAGCGCTCCCGCCACTCGGCCCTGGCAGAAGAGGGCCCTGTGCCGCCTCTGGTGAGGAGCAACGGGGGCTGACAACGCTCCACCCCACCCCTCTCCGGTTCCGCAGACACCATCCCCCCGGCGCCGGGAGGCAACGGCACCTCAGAGAGCCGCCTCCTCCCGGCCTGGGCGGGCGGGAAAGCGATCCCCTGACAGCGAGAGGGTTCAGAAGCGGGCGGGCAGGCGGCGCCACACCTCGCGGCACGCTGCGCGGGCTCTATCACGTGACCAGGGGCGCGCAGCGTGATTGGCCAGCGACGGCGCGGGGCTTGAAGCTCGACTTTAGGAGAGGGCGCTGAGGGAGTTCTTGGGAGGGTTGTGTGCGTGTTGGGTGCTCAGGGATGTTTGGCTTCTTTTCTAAGGTGTTTTCCTATTTCTGGAGACGCGTGGGTGATGAGGAGGGAGAAGATGCGAGGTGGGCGGCCTCAGGTAGGAGTTTATGGGCCACGTGTGGGTTTGTGTTGCCGTGCGCAGGGCCCGTGTGCCGCTTCAGAGCCTTGAGGGCGCTGGTGGTCTCGGCCCACGCATGGGTGGGGCTGAGTGAAGAGCTGTTTCCTGAAGAAAGGAAGTCTGGAAAAGAAGGCAGCTTCTTGACTATAGGGTATATGGGAGTGTTTCTAGCAGTACTTTTTTTGCTGTGTTTCCTGAGTTGGACAAGTTGTGGTTGCTGTTGTAGTATGGAGTGAGGTGTAAGAGGAGTGTTGTGGTGGTGGGTGCTTTGTGTTTACCCTCCTACTACTGTTTCAGTAAGTAAGCCTTCTTCATCTTTCTTAGGCTGTAGAATGGAGATGACAGTGTAGGTTTGATGTTTTGAGACTCCAAAATGATGTGTATTTAAGATGCTTTTAGTAGCAGCATTCAATGTGGCAAAAAGTTCTTTTTCATATTTATGAATGCAGAAAGCAAGAAAGATTACTTACTGTATTAATAGTCTTGGTTGTGAGTGTAGCTAATAATGGGTTGATGTCAACTTGAATATGAGTTAACAGTGTGCTCTGGCAGCTAAAATAGCCAACTGTGTCCTGGGGTGTCCATCACAGCATAGCTAGCTAGTCGAGGGAGGTGGTTGCCCCACTCTACACTGCTGTGATGTGTACCCACCTTGAGTACTGTATGCACTTTTGGGTGCCCCTATATAAGAAGGGCATCAAACTATGAGAGTGTGCCTAGAGAAGGGTGACCAAGATGGTGAAAGGCCTTGAAGGGCAAGACTTGCAAGGAGCAGCTGAGGTCACTTAGTTTGTTCACCTTGGAGTAAAGAAGGCTGAGGAGCAACCTCATTACAGTTTGCAGCTTCCCCAAGGTGGGCAGTGGAGGAGGTGGTGCTGATCTCTCTCTGATGACTAGCAATAGGACACAAGGAAATGAAATGAAGCTGCACCAAGGGAAATTCAGATTGGACATTAGGAAAAGGCTCTTCACTGAGTAGTTGGTCCCTGGAACAGACTCCCCAGGGAAGTGGTCACAGCACCAAACCTGTCAAAGTTCAAGGAGCATCTGGACAACACCCTTAAGTCATGTGGTTTAGTTTTGGGAGGTCCTGCAAGAAGCAAGGACTTGGGCTCAATCCTTTTGGGTCCCTTCCAACTCGAGATATTTTATGATTTTTTTCATGCAGCTTAAAGAGTGCTGTTTTTACAGTGTAGTTTGTATCTAGCTAGTGTTCTTAATTGGTTGCAAGCATAACTTCCATAAGACTTAAATGTGAAACTACTTAGTTGGTATTTTTAGTTGAATGAGAGAATGACTTTGATAGAAGGGATAGTACTTCTAGTAGCATTCATCACTTGTTGCATAGTTCTGTAGGCAAGTGATTTGTTTTTATGTGAACACTTTTCCTCTGGATACAGGTGATAAAGAACTGAAAACTGTACAAGGAGTAGTGACAAGATTTTGCTATGATTATGGGATGATAGATGACATGATATTCTTCACAAAGGATTCTGTTACAAAAAGTATGGCACTGACTGTTGGACAGGAAGTTACTGCTACTGTTGAAGAGGATAAAACATCGGGTGGTTTGAAGGCCATCAGGGTAAGAGGTGAAGATAAGTAGTAGTCACACTTTCTCTGTAAATACCTAGAGACTTTCCTTTGGCATTTATATAGTTTTAGCCTCCCAAATTCTACAAAATAGGAGAAATTGCCAGTCCTTCACTTAGTGGAGATACATTGTTTTGGGTGGTTATTTATTACTGTTTTATTCAATCTCCCTTAAAATGTTGTCCTATAATACCGATTCTCTGAATATAAGTCTAGACATAGTGTATATGAAAGTATTGAGATAATTGCATAGGAATTTGTTTAATCATACCTAGTTCAGATCTCTGTGTATTCTTTTCTGAGCTTCAAAGTCAATTTTATGTTATTTTTATATGAATGGATAAGAAAATAAAAAAACAGAGGCTGCAAGTTTGCTTTTTGAACAAAAGTGAATAAACATAAACTTCAAAACTTCCTTTGTAGAAAATCAGCATCTTAATGTTATGGAGAGTTATAAAAATGGAATTTTCAGTACCTTTCTTGTTCAATGCTTTATTTGTAAACCTACTTCAAGCTTGATTATACATTGTCACAACTTTAAGCTACTGTAATTTTTTTAATCATATAGGCTCAACTCTCAGGTGCCTGTGATAATCTAGCTGAGAAGCTGAGTCAAGTGGCCCTTGTCCATTTAGGTATTATGTAAATATGAGTAGCACTTCAAAGACTGACAGCAGTGCAGAAGTTGCTGATAACTGGATGATACAGAACCCTTCTTTTTGGCTTGTATCTGCTTGGCTTAGGTACAGCGCTAGACTAGTGTAATTCACCTAGGAAACTTAAACTGAGCCAAAGCCTAAGTTGCTTGTTAACAGAGCAAATCACAGTGTAACTAGTTTAAAAATTAACTTGCGCTTTCTAGTAAATGGATTTTTTATAATTAAGCATCTTATCAGCTCATGCTGTCATTAACATTATTAGCAAACACAGTGGCTTCAGGGATCATGTTTCATGTAATAGGAAGGTAATGGTTAGCCGTAGTATTCTAATGTATCTAGTAATCTTATTAGTAAAGTTCTGATATGCAGGTTTAATAAGAGTGTAAGTTACCAGATTGAAGAATTTGTCATTACTATGTTAAATTAGCAAATGATACATAAATTGGGGAAAGGAGGTCAAAATCTTGCATTGTTTAGCATATAGTATTTCTCATTCCTCATGCCTTTCATTTATACACCATCCTGATTTTGGTACTTCAGAGACATTTTGGTCAGTTGCCAGCAGTGTCCAAACATAACCACCTATCATATGGAAGTGCGTTTGTATTATTCTGATGCACTCAGTAATGTAATTCTGTTGGTATCAAGTGGCATATGTTAATAGTTCATAACTGATACTGTATACTGTTCAGAATTAGTCTGTTGATCAGTCCTGAAACTGTTCTTATTAATGGTAGGTAGAGACATACCTTGAAAAATATTTCAATATGTCACCATGGGATTACTTCTTAGTTATATTTCTCTTCTGTTAGACATGGCTTTTCTCTTGATGATGAACTTGAGCAATTGAAGCTCCACTGGATTTTTCTGTGCACTCTTTTGGAAAAGAGTTTCATGATTTTTAAGTAAGGCCTTGAATATCAGTGGAGACATTGACATGTCTATGGAAAGCAAGGTTGTATGGTGTGCTCTCTTCCTTGCTGCCTATCCCCCTCAAAATTTAAAGATTTGACCCATGTCTTTTAATTTTCTAGGTGTCTGAAGTTGAGGCTAACACAAACTACTGAACCAGGGGGTCAGGTACATATGCAGAGGCCTTCACAATATGTCTGTGATGTGCAGGGCATGTAACTGTTAGAGTGTCACTGCTTCATAAAACATTTAATTAGAATTGAGAAAAGGATGCATATTGTGAATGGCATGTGTTGTATGTACATAAAGCTCAAATATACATATATATGACTGGAAGTATAATATGAATTTTAACACTGCCTGTTGATGATACTTAGGTTTTGAAGAAGTTCACTTAAGGTCAGTAGAGTCTCTGTAAAGAGTGACCAGATACCACCATGGGCTGCTTTGGGAGTGACTGCATGAGCAGTTCAGTACAATACAGTTCCATTCGCTGTAATGGTCTTCCTTTGAGTATGACAGTGTGGACAGAGAAGTGAAGGCTTGTTTTTGTCATGAGAAAGAGCTGCCTCCTGTGAAACACCTGTTAGTACAGGTGTTGGTCTAGAAAGTTATTTTGTTTTATTGTATTTGTCACCTTTTTTGCCTCAAATTAAAAAAAATCTCCCTAGGACTCAAAGCTCTGACTTCACCAGCCACTATAACTGTTCATCTTGGGGAAAGATCTTTACCTAATTAGCCTATGAATAAGAAACCAATGCAAAGATGCTGGATGCCTGCTGGACGCCTTTTTTTGTAGTTGTTAGTCATCAATAATAAATACACTTTTTATCCGAACTTAACAATAGTCCATGAGATGTATGCTCGGCTAATGGGGAAGACAAATTTTGTGGCTGAAGTGATGAATTGCACGTGATAAACTCCTGCATAGAGGCTGGACTTAAGTTTAAAATAAATGCATATCTCTGAGAACTTTTTTTCCTCTAAATGGTTGAATTGGCAGTGACTGTACTCTGTGTTCTGGTTTAACCCCAGCCAGCAACCAAGCACCACACAGCTGCTTGCTCACCTCCCCTCACTCCCCTCAGTGGTTTGAGGGAGAGAATTAAGAGGGGGGGAAAGGGAAAAAAAACCTCATGGGTTGACATAAGAACAGTTTAATGATTTAAATAAAATAATAAAATTAATAATAATAAATTTTAATGAAAAGGAAAACAACAACAACTGAAAAGACAAAACTCAAGAAAGTGACACAACTGCTTACCACCCACTGACCAACACCCAGCCAGCCTCTGAGCAGTGATTGTGTCCCCACTGGCAAATTCCCCCAGCTTATATACTGAGCATGGCTTTTTAGTGGCGTGGAATATCCCTTTCACCAGTTTGGGTCAGCTGTCCTGGCTGTCTCCTCCCAGCTTCTAAGGGACAGTGTGAGAAACTGAAAAAGTACTTGGCTTAGTGTAAGGCAGTGCTTGGAAACAACTAAAACATCAGTGTGTTATCAATATTATTCTCAGCACAAATCCAAAACATAGCCTCGTACTCACTACTGTGAAGAAAATTAACTCTATCCCAGCCAAAATGAGAACATTCTGATAAAATTAAATTGATAAGATATGTGGCTTCTCATGTAGGAATAGACAGAAAATGAAAGTACTAGAAGACTAACTTGATTTGTGTTTTACCCTGTGTAATATTTGGGGGTTTAGATGCGTTTTTATATATTTGTGAAGTCTGTAGGCTACTGAAGAAATGCAGTAGAGTTACTTGTATGGACTTCTTCCAATCTCTGTTGCTGGTTTGGTAATAACTAATGAAAACTCTGAGATGCTGGCAGATAACAATCAATTGGGTGTGGTTTTTTAATTTATTCTGAGATTGTTAGGCATCTGGTTTTTAATACTTTATTTCAGGAAGATTTAAAATGTTACATGCCTCCATTTTTCTCTGTTCTGTCCTTCCTTTAACTCAAAATAACAAGAAGAAAATTCCTGAAGGCTAAAGTAATTAAGATGTTTCATATTAAAGATTAGAACTATATAACAGAGCAACACTAAGTTGTAAAATGAACTCCAGTTGTATAAAGAATTTTGAGGGGAGATTTTTTTTTCTTAAGTGGAATGACTTTCCTATGTGAAAACTAAATATTCTAAATCCAGAAAGCAATTTCAGTGCTGGTTGGTAAAATAACAGACACAATAAAATTAATTACTTTAAATTTTCATTCTTCTTCCTTGTTTTCCTTCTGAATGACAGCTTTCATAATACTGTTGAAATACTGTTATCACTCCAAAATACATAAACTTGGTGTACCTAAGGATCTCTAAACCAACTAGGATATTTTAGCAATTGTGGGATGTTTTGCTGTATGTGCTCTGTAATGGTTTCTGTATTTTGTAAGCTTTCTGAAATAAGCTGATTTAAACGAGTAATTAGTCTAGTCTAAACTAGTACACTTGTTGCTGGGGGTTACATTTCATTTGTGTAAACAGAATAGTGGTATTTAAAGTGAACAGTATAATGATCATGGCAATGGAGTGTGCTGGGATTAGATCACCAGTGCTGCTGTTAGCTCCAGCGATGGATCTATAGGCCACCACAGCAGATACATAGAGGGTGTCTTTGTCCTAGCCCAGGATGAGTCTCCCTGCATAAACACTATGTAAATTAGAGATAAGTTACTTACTGTTTACTACTCGTATTTTTTGTGTGCAAAAGTGAACAGGTAGAGTGAGTATAGAACTGTCTTAATACAGAGCTTAACTTCCATGAGCCGTAGAAAATCTGGTATTTATTATAAGAATATATGTTTAACATAGAATTCTAAGTGTCAGCTGTTTGAATGTTGGAGTTTTTTGTGTTAATAGGTAGATGTGGTCCAGGATACATGGGGAGACTCCAATGCTACATGTGATGCTTCTGAACTAAACATGAAAGTATTAATTGGCATTATTACCTCCGTCTCTAAGAATTGTGGCTATATTAACGAGAATACTTTTTTTGCAATGAAAGACGTCTGTGAAGGTGTGTAGTGATTTTCTTGTGTGCTCTTCCTTAATTTTTTTGTACGTACAATAGAAATATCTTCTGATAAACTTGCAGTCCACATCCCAAATAAGTATTAGAATACAGTGTATATAATGAAACAAACATAGGGTTTTGGGTGGAGAAAGCTACCTGCTCATTCTCACTGATCATAACTTGCATGCAGTCATCTAAGCATAAGTTATATTTAAACAAGTGTCTTTTTCTACTAGCATCTCTCACATAGTTTGTAATAACCTCCTGTGGGAAGAACTGTGACAAGCAATTTGAACTCAGTGAATCTGAAGAATGCATTGTTCTGTCTGGTCATTTTATTTAACTGAAATTATTTCTGTATAGGAGTAATGCAAATGTCATCAGTACTAAACTTGAGAAATGTTCTGTTTTACATAGGTTTTAAGCCTTGTAAAGGTGACTGGGTGCAAGCAAAATATTTTATTAACCGGACAACATGGAACAGTGAAGCAGTTGCTGTAAAGCCTTTGAGATATAAGCAAGTAGATAAGGTATATGTTCTGCACGTTGTTGAAGAGGAATCTTGTGTGCAGTGGGGTTTTGAAGGTGGTTTGAAGTTGCTAATGCTGGTAGATTGCTGTAACACATCTTTAGTTAAAAGATATATCAATTAATCTATTTATAGGATTATTTCTAAAGTAACAGAGCTTTTGGAAAAGGATACACATATTGGTTAGAAAAGGAAGAGTGACTAACTTATTATTTAGTGGCTGTCAATTGTTGATTTGGATGCTTACTGTTTTAGTTACACCAGTTGCAATGAAGGTGTATGGATTTTCAGACTTTTTTAAAGAAGTAATGACTGTGGAATTTATTATGTTTACTGTAATTTATCCAACTTTTTTGGCCTAAAACCAACCGTTGTCCATTTTTAAAAATTTTGATTACATCTTTGTTCCCTCTAGGAAAATATGCATTTTAGTTTTACTGTATTTGACTTAACGGTATATGTTGAATAATATTTGCATGTCAAACATAGGAAAAAAAAAATCTCTTATGACCGCTAATACTGAAGTACAGATTAGATAAGTTGGTAAGTCACAAGAGAGGTATTGTGATTAAGTCAAAGGTACATATTGCAGTATGCGCTTAAGTGGAACCTAATACTTGCCTGAAGTACTTGTGTTTCTTTACACTCTTAAATCTCAAGACAAGCACAGTGATTTTATGTTAGAGCTGTATGTTTACCTGCCATGAATAACTGACACATCAGAATGCAGCTCTGTTAATGCTAGACTGTTGCAGGAAAAATACAGTGGTAGCATGACTGTTAGCTAAAGCAGATAATGTTGAGTAACACCAAGTAACAAACTGTTACAGGTTCGCATTTCCAGCATCTGTGGAAGAAGTGGTACAGTAGATGAGAGTATATTTTTCACTTTGGATTCATTGAGACTTCCTGATGGCTATTCACCTCGTAGACATGATCTAGTGAATGCGATTGTGGTGGAGAGCAGTCAGTCGTGTTATATTTGGAGAGCTCTGTGCTTGGTGCCAGTCACCCAGGATGGGTAATGTTCACTCTTACATTCTCTTTCCACGTAATAACAGCTAAAGATTAATTGTAATTATGCAGCTTAAATTTTGTTGTGTCTATTAAGCAAGAAATACTGTGAATTCTCTAGTAGTTGACTAGAAGGCATGATAGATCATTGGAAAGATCAGAGCATGATACGATTTCATCCTTGCTTTCTCTTCCTTTCCAGAAGGTGCTTGCTAGAGAAGCAAAACTAGTAGCAGCTGAGCTCAGAGATATTGCTAGGCAAAGAAGGAATTTTTGCCTGGTTTTGTTAGAAAAACGCCAAGCTCATGCTCTTATCCTGTGTGTCTCTCTAATCTACGCTCTTCTAGTGAGGACTTTACCACTTGAAAACCATTCTCAGCAAAACAGATGCAAAATTGATGCTGCTTTAATCCATTTTGCTTAAGTTGTAGTGATTATTCAGATAGCCCTGAACAGAATAGTTTAATGATCTGATTAGTTGGCCCTCCAAGTATTGAACTGAAAGGTTCTGCAGGCACTTTAGATGGCATATATGATGTGAGGAGTATCTGGACAGACTGCAGAGAAGGTTGGAAAAAGTAGCTGATGTTTAGTATGGAGAAGAAGCAAAATTTTGAGAAATAATCATCTACACAAATGTAGAATGGGCAACAACTAGTCAGTAGCAGTTCTGCAGCAAAGATCCGGAGTTTTACTTGTGAGTTTGAGTGTCCTGTGAAAAATGCAAATACTGCCCAAATGCATATAAGTAGGGCTCTTACCTGTAAAGTCTGTCACCACCAGTGCTGACAAGGCCTTGGTAGGATTACTGAGTCTGCAGAGCAAATATAAGCTGTTGACCAATTGGAAAGTCCAAAGGAGAGCAAAAAGTAAATTTTAATACTTATCAGGCACGGTCTTTGGAAGAACTTACCATGTTCATTCTCTAGGAAATATAGCTAAGGGTGGTACCTAGGACTTCAAAGAAACTATGAAGAATTGAATAAGCTGTTTTCACTGGAGATAATATAGTAGATTTAAATTGTACCCAGATAAAGCTTGAATGTTTGCATCACTCTGCACAATAGTAAATTTGTTCACTTTTTTTTCCAGTTGAACCTATTTTTAATGATGTATTTTATACAGAAAATTATTACTAAAGCCAAGTTACAAAAGTAGACCTTAGGGTTGATTTCAGTGTTAGTGTATTTCCTAACATATCAAAAAATTGCAGTGGCTTAAGTTGAACTGGGAGACATCTAGTGGGCTTTGCTAGGAAATTGATGTAGCTAATGAACAGCTGCAGTCACTTTCTACTTTATTGTATTAGGTAATTAAGGAATACTTAGGGTATGTAAATGTTGGCAAGATTATTAAAATATTTGCAAGCTGTTTTCATGCCACTTTAATTGAATAGTTTCTTAATTGTAGAATATAAACAATTTTAAAATGGTTTCCACAGATAGCTGACACAGAGAGATTAGAGCTCTGGTCACTGTCTTGGACAGGGAAGAGCATGCGACTTTGGTTTTCTAGGCATTTTTCATCAGTAGTGTATGTGATAGTAGTTTTTAAGGGTGCTTTTTTGGGTTTCAGCTTTTTCAAATTTCTTCTTCAGTCTCCTGCTTTCAGACTGCAGCAGTAAGCAGAAGACATAAGTGCTTGGGGTACATGTTGAAACACTTCGTCGTTTTATCTCTTAAGCTCAGTGCTAATCAGGATTCTTGCTAAGGAGCTGCTCTTTGTTGTGTCTTGGTTTAGCTCCCAAAGAGATCCATGACAGTTACCATTTGATTCAGCTCTTCAGCAAAGATTAGCTAGCTTCTTAATCATTTTAGTCTTGTATCCAAAGATTTATGCTGTTTTTTTGAGCTGCTGACAAAAGGCTTGTTATTTTTAATTTGCTGCTTAAATTAGTAAAGGTAATCTGATTGTCTTGGAAGTATAAGTAGCTGAGAAAAAGTGAACCCTCTCACCTGTGTCTTCCTAAATACTGTGGCTATGCTTTGGTATAGTGATTCTTAAACAAACTTGTGCTGAATCAAAGATAGTTGCTGAGTCTATTTGTGTTTCAAAAGTGCTAGCTAAAATTATTTTTTACAGACAATCTCACTCTGATGGAGTCAATCTGGATGAATCTTATGAAGACTTAATGAGAGACAAAGGAGGGCTGAAAGTATCAAGGATGACTAATTTTGGAACTCTGAAACAGGGGGAATCTGAAAGAATGATCATTTTGATAGAGTAAGCCTTTCTGATTGTTGTAAGCTTGCTTTCTTTCCATCACTCCATAGTTTGTAAACCTGTCTTTCATACAAAAGCCCTTCATGGTTGAGGCTTGTGGTTCATGGTCTTCAAGTAACCCACAAATCCTGTATAATTAAAAGTAATTTCATATTGAATTTAGTGTCTTTAGGATAGTCTTTTTATTGAACATCTATCTTGCAGATAGTGCTTTGAGACTCCCCAGTCCTGTCTCTTCAATCCTAATAAAATCCTTTCTGGAATGAGGATTAAAGTAAATGCTTTTACTTGTGTGTTTAAGTAAGCTGCAGATAACGCTATCGTCTTCAAAATCTTAGAACACAAGGACTGTTGCATATTCATGTATTAAAAGCAGACCAGGTTTTTTTTCTAATTTTTTTTAACTTGGATGCTGAGGAACTATGTTGGTGTATCCTTGAGGGTTTTTTTGTTTTGGTGGTTTTCTCTTGGTTTTGTTTTTGTTTTATTTCACATGTGGACATAGAGCCTCAAATGAGGCCACACCTGAATACCTGCTATTTGTTGCTATGTACTCTTTCTTAAGTCTTAGTTACCCACTGATAAATTTAAAATTATAGCTTTTTTTATACATAGTATTTCTTTATGCTTCATATAGTGGTTGATACAACCTAGAAATACTGACATTTAGCAGAGGTTCTGGTCCTTGTGAGTTAAAAGCAGCAGTGCAATTTCTTTCTGATAGTGGCTATGAAATAATGGTGAAATAACCTGCAGTGTATGTTTATACTTGACTTCAGGTAGAATTAAGCTTCCCAAATACTACGTTAAATATTCACATAATTATGTTGTTAATTACATCACTACTTCTAGGAATAAAGGGTGTGTTCCACAGTCCTTAATCAGCTGCAGATTAGCTGGATGGGTGAAAGACAAGCAATTCAGTTTTCAGATTCCTCAAAAAAGTGAGAATACTCCAGAAGCATATATGTCATCTTCTCCAATAAATCAAGAAAACCTCTCAAAAGCTGCAGTTAATTCATATAGTGACAGTGGAGGAACAACACATGAGTCATTGATTAATACATCCATTATGAAGAATGGAGGCATTACAGGTACAGTGAAACGTTAACATTTGAATGCTGAGTGTTAACTCCTCAGAAGACCTTTAGGTTTGTCTGAGAAGACTTGTCTATGCTAGTGATAGCAGTTGTGTAACAGGTTTTATTATAATCTCTTTACTACAGAAGGAATTGCTTCTCAGGATACAAATTTATCAAAGACAAAAGAAAACTTTTTCTTGGTAAAAGATGAAAATCTACATAATGGAGAAAATGAGCAAAGAGGAGGTGTGGAACAACTGATAATGAACATCCACACTACTGGAGAAATTGTCATACCACCAGGTGGAAGAACTTTCATAGTGATCATATGCACAGCTGTGTAAGTATTTCCTTCCATTGGTTCTGACCAATACTATGGAAACAAGTCATAAAAACTGACTTAAGAGTTCCCTTATTCTAGGCACCATTCTCTTTTTGGTGTAGGATAAATTAAGCCAACACATATTAGCAAGTGATGTGGAAACCTGTATTAGGCTGTGGAAGTAATTAGTATTTTAATGTTTGGTTCAGATTTTTGTAAAAAGAAAATGGTAGAAGACCAAACAGAAGAAATATAGTAGGAGTAGATCACTTATCTAAAAAAAAAAACACAGTAAGGTGAAGATAATGGCTACAGCTGATTATATTTTTTTCTAGGAAACCCATTGCTCCATGAGCAGTAGAGCTAATGTAGTTTTCCTGGGAATTTTTATGTTATGTCTAATATCTGTTTCTTCCAGTCTCAGTACCCTGATGTCGTATTCATGTGGCTGCATGCCTCCATGTCAAACTTTCCTGTCCTGTGATATTGAATGCAGGTCATGTATTCTGAAATAAAAAAGAAAAGCTTGCATCCTTGAAAGAGTAATTTATAGAGGAAGTGGTTTGCAGATCTTAAAAAAAACTTTTGAAATACAAAAATATTAAGCTGTACAAAATATTTAATCAATTTAGTTAACAACAAAAAGTGGCTCTGTGCAAGCTCTTTCAGAATTCAAGTAGGAACCTCATGCTGGAAAGCTTACTTTCATGTACTATTCAGTTATTTCCAGCTCTAGAAACTTTGTATAACATGACCATTTATTCTTATGGTTACAATTTAGAAGTTGGACAGGGGAAAACAAGGTCAAATGGTTTCATTCATCAACGTAACACTGTATTAACTATCACACTGCTTCTGTAACTATTTTAAATAATGAAAGAAGAGTTAGAATTTTTCTTAGGAGGATGATATAGCTGCAGTTTGAAAGATAAGCTGCAGGCATGGCCTGCCTTTGTGGAGAAAGGTGTAGAAAGTACAATTTGTTTCACTGTAGATCTATAAATGCAGCTAAGTCTGAGACTCTTCTAATAATACAGAACAATCCACATAAAACTCTATGGGGGGCTGGAGCATGAAGATAACAAGTGCTTGCTGGCCACTTAAGAGACCACAGAGACTGCACATGTAGATGATGAATCTGGACAGTTCAGCATCTGCGCTGAGTTTGTGTATCAGAGGAAACCAGGCTGTAGCTTTAGCCTGCGCAGATAGTGTTACTTGGCATGAAAAAGTGGTACTTCTGCCAAAGAGAAAGTGTGCTGGAATCCTTCTGGGGTGCTTTTCTTTCAGGACTGTGCAGTTAGTGCTGAGGAGAAAACTGGGCTCTGCCTAGTGCTGGGATGAGTTCATTAAGGGATTTCAGAGCAGATGGTGTGTGTTAGATCTTTTGTCTTAAGTTCCTTAGAAACCAATCTGAAGAGACTATTTCACAGAATATTAGAAGTTGGAAGGGACCTCAAAAGCTCACCTAGTCCAACCCCCCTGCCAGAGCAGGATCACCTAGACTAGGTCACACAGGAATGCGTCCAGGCGGGTTTTGAATGTCTCCAGAGAAGGAGACTCCACAACCTCCTGGGCAGCCTGTTCCAGTGCTCTGTCACCCTCACAGTAAAGTTTTTCCTCATGTTCAGGTTGAACCTCCTATGCTTCAGCTTACTCCCATTGCCCCTTGTCCTATCATTTGACATGAAATGATAAACTCTTTGACATCAGATGAAGAAACTCTTCCCTCTCTTTCTCCTCTGTCACTCCTCAAGCTCTGCTTACACATATAAAGTGCATTTTTCAGAAATAAAGGACCTTTCATACTTTCTCTGCTTGATGTATTTACAGTCAGGGTTCAGTTCTGAGTAGCCTTAAGCAAGGTGGAGCAAAGCTGTCGCTGCACACAGTGAAGGGATATGCTTCAGGTGCCTCTCATGGAAATGTTTGGCTAATCTTCAGTAACCATAATTCCAAGATTTTCCTTGTAACTGAAGTATTAATTCTGTACCTAGTATGTTGAGGGTAGGGATTTTTTTGCTTTTTTTCCAAGCTTTTGATGAAATTGAGGTTTTGAGATGTTTACCTTTTTTTTTCCCTTTCTTTTTTTTTCACTGTTTGTGATACCTGAATTGAACTCAGGGTTGGAAGTAAGTGTGAGGAATTACTCTAAGTTAGCAGTTGTCGTATATTACTGAAAGGAGAATCTACACTTCTATTAAAAATATCTATGGCTGGGGAAAATAGTGTGTGAACATAATGGTTTTAAGAATGTAACTTCTGCTTACTCTAAGAAATCCTGGATACAGTAAAGAACTCCTGTTGCTTGGTTTTTCTGATTTTACTATTGGACGCTATATTGAAGCCACTGTAACAAGTGAAGAAGAATTACTAATAGCACCTGTGGAACCATATTCTCCAAGAAAGCCTAAAATTCCAGAACCTCAGCCAAGGAAGACAATAGTGATTGCACCTAAATACAGAAGGTACTGTGAATTAGAGCAGAAAATAACACTATTCTATGGGGTATTGCTCTATCAGTTCTGTAATGCTGATAAAGAAAATGTGAAACTTGGAGTCTGTACAGGGTTTCTGTATGCGTACTATGAACAAGATAATTGTGGACATTACTGATAGAAGCTGTTTTAGTAATGAACTGCTTGACTTCTTTGTAATTTGTCAAACAGGAGCTCTTTCCACTATATAATGTGATGATAAACAAGATTAAACACTGTTGCGTAGTCATCTACAAGTAACAATTGTTATTAAGAAAAAGAATGGAAAATAGGAAATAGTTTTCTGAGAGAATTAGCTTCTTAACTCCTCAAGCAACTTTGACATCTATACCTAATAAACATTTCCCATCTTTCATTCAGAACTCTTCCTTTTGCAAATAGTTTCCATTATGTTTAGAGTATTTGCTTAGTTTTAAAAATATCCATAAATTTAAAAAGCAGACACACGATATTTTCATATAATCTGTAACTGGAACACTTATCTTTCTTCCCAGTATAGCAAACTTCTCCATTGTCACTTTGAAGGAATCATTTGGTCTGGGGGTGTGTATGTGTTGGTTTTACAGCCTTGATGATGTGGCATGATATTTTCACATACATAATGTATGTTTTTCACATACATAATTTGAGAAAGGTAAATGGTATTCTATGATATGTCATGTATTTTTGTTTTAGAAATCACAGAAAGCATTTGCCAAGCTTTCTCCCGCATTATACCATACCAGATGAGTTAAGAAAATGTGTGGAGCAGAAGGTAGATGTACTGACCTTTCAGCCTCTCCTAGCAGAGGTATGCAAGCATAGGTTTATATAAGAAAATCTTTTGTGTGTTTGTTCAATATAGCCTTAATTTAGCAAAAATGTGTAGCCCTTAGTGTAAAAGAAGATGATGTAATACTGTTACACTTAAGGCTTTAGTCTGTATCCTGTAACTTCTGTGGGTTTCAGTATGTCACAAAATCCAAGGTTACAAGAGAACAAAAGGGTAAATGTGAAAAACGGAAAAAGGGAGTAGCAGTATATTGGGGGGGGTGCAGGGCAGAAGGTGGAATATTGCAAAAACTCAACAAATTTTCCACTTCACTCAGTTTTTAGGCATCATTGGAAAGGGTTTTTTGGGTGTCAGAACAGTAGTCCAGTTTTTTTATAGCAAATGAAAGCAGAAATTCTGAAGTTATTGCAATAACAGAAGATTCTTTTCTGGTTATTCAAAACTTAAAAAAAAAAATCCTCTCATTTCATTCATTATTGCTTGTTCACGGTGATCCCTTCTCCAAAATTTTGTCGTGATTTCTGGTAGAACATTGCTGCAACTCACCTTTTTATCCCTAACTTTTTAAGTACTTATAAACTGGGGCTGATAATTAATTTTTCAAAAGTGTAAAACTCTGTCATCACTTTCTGAACAGCTCACACAAAACCTGAGGTCACAGCATTAAGATAGCAGGTTAGTGATCCTCTCTCAAAAGGAAGATAAAACTCTTTAGTATTTGAAATAATTTTATACTGAAAGCCTGCTGTTAACAGTAGCATTTTTTAACCGCACTTAAAGTCCTTTCTTGTACTAGTGAGTGTTAAGCGCAAGAAACGGAAAGCAATGCTCATTCGCCTTGTATGTGAGTGAGAAGACACCAGATAGAAAGCATTCCATGCCACAGTTCAAGTGTGCCGTGCTTCAGATAGAGCTTTCTACTGTTGGAACAGGCCTCCTTGCTGAGATGCATTAAGCTCAGAGGGAAAAAGTTCAGGTTCTTTCAGTTTGCTATAAGTTGTATTATCATCAGCCAGGACTAAGTCTGAGATGACTGGAAGAGGGTAGATTTAGACTAGATATTAGGAGGAAATTCTTTACTGTGAGGGTGGTGAGACACTGGCACAGATTGCCCAGGGAAGTTGTGGATGCCCCCTCCCTGGAAGTGTTCAACACCAGGTTGGACAGGGCTTTGGGCAACCTGGTCTAGTGGGAGATGTCCTTGCCCACGGCAAGGGGGTTGGACTGGATGATCTTTAAGGTCCCTTCCAGCCTAAACCATTCTATGATTCTATTACTCTTTCTTCACCCATCTGCCCAGTGTACTTAGATTTTATGCTTTCTGGGATCGCAGAGCATAGAATTCAGTTTGTAGACTGCCCTTGAATTCAGATTTTGAAACTGCCATTGCAGTAGGGAGAGATTTGGTTAACTGTAGCTGACTGCCTATTGTATCTGAGCTCCAAGGTCTATACTAATTCTGCTTTGACTACTGGAGGTGTTTAAAATATTAGCTAGTATATAGATAGATGTATTTAGGTGCCTTAATTGACAACCCTGTTGCTGTGCAGTCTGTCTTAAGAGGTATTTTGTATAAAGTTAAGAATAGAGGTTTCCATATCTTGGTGTAGAAGTTATAACAATAATGTATACTGTTTTTGTTTTTCAGCATCTAAATCTAGATACTTACAAAGCAAAATTTTCTGCTCTCTTGTGGCTTGAAGAGATCTATGCAGAAATGGAGATAAAAGATTTCAGCATGACTGGGGTTACTTTGAAAAGGAGTGGGAACTTCTTAGTATTGGAAGTGCCAGGAGTGGAAGAGGGCAAACCTCACCTGGTTACAGGTAGTAATTAATGTGAGATAAAGCCAAATAGCACATTGAAGGATATTTTCAGTGCAATACAAACTCCATTGCTTACTCATTTGCTTAAAGAAATCTTTCATGTAGTTGAACACAAAGTTATTAATCTAGGCTACTAGACAAGTGAACTATGGTGTGAGTCTTGGTGGCAGCTGTCTGAAGCAGCATTGCATGTGTCTGTTCTTAAGCATGTTCTGATATTTTTGGATTTTTCATGTAAAAAAAACCTGGTGAGTCTTTCATCAAAGATAAACTGTGCAATGCAGTAATAACCTAAAAGACAGTAAGTGTATCAAATGCAAAAGCTGGGAAAATAGTTACAATTTAATTCAGAATCTCAAATAATATAAAAGATACAGTTTTCAGGAGGTGTTGTCTGATGGCATCAATATTAGGTGCCTTTTAAAATGTAATATACAACTGCATATTACATTTCAGACCAAGAACTCATGGATACAGCAGCTTAGCTGAAGTTAGTTAACATGTAGCATCCTGCAGACTCCTAGTTTAACCATGCAACAGAGGAAGAAATTAAAGTGCTGCAGGGAGAATTTTACTATTCCTTGTTAACATTATGTTGCCTTTTAACTTTGCTTACAATTAGGTGATAAAGTCATACTGAAAAGTCAGATCTACTCTGAGCATATAATAGAGTACGTTGCCTACATTACTGAGGTAAGCAAGGTGTATCTCTTGTTGAAAATGCTGTGGTCCATAGATTTCAAAGAGGAGACTGGGAGTTCATAGAATTACAGACTAGTTTAATCTGACCTTTGGGAAGCTAGATTTGGTTTATCTACATTCTGAGTTATTATTTTGTATTTTTTATTGTACTTTCTTAAAGATTTTTGACTTCCCTGTTTTCTAGATTATAATCTTTACCTACTATGAAAGCACTTATAACATAATCTAGATATGCAATATGTTGATAGCAGGTAGATGTAGGTGTTCTTTTCGGAGGTGATGAGAGGGTTCAGTGGCTTCAGAGATGCTTCTTTGTGTTTAAATTACTAAGCCTTCATCAGTATGCTGACTTTTTTTTTTTTTAATCTTGCAACAGATACATAATGAGGATGTTACTCTTAAATGTAATGCAGACTTTGAACAGGCTTACAACCAGGAACCCATGGATGTGGAATTTGTTCATTGCAGGTATTGTTATAAGATTCCAAAAAACTACATTTAATGATTCCTCTAGTAAATATACATGACTCTTAATTGGTTGTTTTGATGGATACAGATAGAAGGACATAATCAAGATCTTGCCAAG